AAAAAACCATACTCACGTGGCCGAGGAGGGTCATTCGGCCGAGGAGGGTCATTTTTTAAAAATAAAATAAAAAACCATACTCACGTGGCCGAGGAGGGTCATTTGGCCGAGGTATAACCAATAACACCTCAACCGTCGCCGGCGTTAGATTTGATCCTTCGGTTTCCTGTAAGTGCTCAGTGCATGCTGGTTACTTACCTGGGGACCTCAGGCTATCATGTTCATAAACATATTCATAGAGATTAGGCGGAATGACAGGCTGAGCGCGGCCCAGTAAGCTGGTTACATGCCGTAACTATATAGCCATGGTTGTTCAAAGTAAAACGTAAGGGTGGTCATTTCACTTGATGGCCCTGCTGCAGCGCAGCAGGGTGGAATTGTTTGCATTGCGTATAATTGTTATCTTATAATTACATGTCACATTTCTTAATTACTATAGAGCCTAAATTTAGATAATTTAAAGGATATTTCTGTCTTTGGCGCAGTACAGGCCGTGAACACTGCGATCCGATTAAATAATGGAGAGATTCCAAAAAACCGTGCGTTCGTTATTTGTGATTGATTGCGTGCGTGAGCCTCCGTGAACATTAGTACCGCTCAAGCATAAATAAAAGTACTAAGCAGTACGCAGTTCTGCGTACAAATTTGTAGCACAAGTTTCATTCAACTTAACTACCCAATTATGTGACATGTAATTGTATTATATTTTATATATTAAGGGGGCCGGGGGGATCGGGAGGGTCTTCATCAAAATTCTCTCGAAATCGACTTTATAAATGTTATTAATAGGCCGGGAGTGTTGTAGCGTGATGCACTACTGGGCCGCACCGCGCATCAAATAATTCGTGTCGCAACCACAGATAGGCGAGATGCACCACTGGACCTCGCTGAGCTAGGAAGGATTGACATCGTGAATCAAAGGGGAGTGATATCTATCAGCTGCTTTTGGTCCCATGGAAAAATATTGTTCCTAGCCGAAATTATCGCCGGTCAAAGGTCAGCGCTTATGTGTAAATTCAAAATTACATACGTTGTATGACCCGCCGCGCATGAAGTGCACGGCTCCCCCTGTATCGTCGAAGACGATACTATAGTGAAGCGACAGTGGGGGTCACCACGTGATACAAGAACAACCATGGCTATATAGTTACGGCATGTAACCAGCTTACTGGGCCGCGCTCAGCCTGTCATTCCGCCTAATCTCTATGAATATGTTTATGAACATGATAGCCTGAGGTCCCCAGGTAAGTAACCAGCATGCACTGAGCACTTACAGGAAACCGAAGGATCTAATCTAACGCCGGCGACGGTTGAGGTGTTATACCACATTTTCTTCGTCCGAAGCTTTGCTGTATTAATCATGGACAGCTCTTCATTTAACCCTAGGCCTAACACACGATTTCTCGAGTATTCGGCCGAGTAGACCGGGGGCTGCATAGTATATATATATAGGTCCAACAGAACAGAGCGTCGAACAGAACAGAGCGTCAACGCGAACGACGCTCACCCCATGGCTAGCGGCACAGACGGCCATTTCTGTCATATCGTTTTGGCTCTGCTCGGCCATGGCCGAGGAGGGCCATTTCTTCGTCACATTGTTTGGCCCTGCTCGGCCATGGCCGAGGAGGGCCATTTTTGCGTCATATTGTTTGGCCCTGCTCGGCCATGGCCGAGCAGGGCCATTTTTAAAAAATGACCCCCCTCGGCCGAATGACCCTCCTCGGCCACATGAGTATGGTTTTTTATTTTATTTTTTAAAATGACCCTCCTCGGCCATGGCCGAGGAGGGCCATTTTTGCGTCATATTGTTTGGCCCTGCTCGGCCATGGCCGAGCAGGGCCATTTTTAAAAATGACCCTCCTCGGCCGTATGACCCTCCTCGGCCACGTTAGTATGGTTTTTTATTTTATTTTTAAAATGACCCTCCTCGGCCACCATAGATCTCTAACTATTTTTTCAAATTGTTTGTTACAAATTGTAGAGACAATCCAAATAATCGGCCATGGCCGAGGAGGGCCATTTTTGCGTCATATTGTTTGGCTCTGCTCAACCATGGCCGAGCAGGGCCATTTTTAAAAAATGACCCTCCTCGGCCGAATGACCCTCCTCGGCCACATGAGTATGGTTTTTTATTTTATTTTTTAAAATGACCCTCCTCGGCCATGGCCGAGGAGGGCCATTTTTGCGTCATATTGTTTGGCCCTGCTCGGCCATGGCCGAGCAGGGCCATTTTTAAAAATGACCCTCCTCGGCCGTATGACCCTCCTCGGCCACGTTAGTATGGTTTTTTATTTTATTTTTAAAATGACCCTCCTCGGCCACCATAGATCTCTAACTATTTTTTCAAATTGTTTGTTACAAATTGTAGAGACAATCCAAATAAAAAGTTATAATTTTTGTCCATTTATATCCATTTTGTCCATGCGGTACCTCATACCTATTTTGACAAAATCGTATGGACAAAAATGGACAAAAACAAAAAACATGATCCTCTTTTATGTTTTTATTAGATACTTTTAAAATTAGGAGTGTCGGAGTACGTATGTACATTGTATACTCTGTATAAATTATTGAGTGTGAAATATGACCTTAATAAACCTCTAATGCTCTATTATATATATGGACACGTTCATTTGAGTTTGAGGATATTGGTAAACAAAAATAATAGCGTTTTTGACGATAGTGGCTTAATTTTGACATCTATTAACCTAGCATGTTCAGAAGTTCTGAACATTAGCCACGTAACCCATACTCCCATATGCACCGCTCAGAAAGAATATCTATTGTTGTTAGGCACTATAATGTTTCAAAAGTCACATTTTGTGTGACCTAGTTAACTGCAGTTGTCTAATTATCGTTCCTTGGTCTGAAATATAGTAAATTAGGTCAATCTAACAATTATGATACAACATTGGTTAATGGGCACGGATCGAACGGTTACAAGGCAATATTTGGGTAACGTTGTCACACTCATGATACCATACCTCTATTCTACTGTGAGGTGTCCTAAAAACCCTTTCAACTCATTATTTGATGGTTGCTCCACCAATCATAGCCCTAAAATATGTTGTTTTGAATAGTTAGCTAATACAGGCACTCGGTTATTGGGAAATGAGGTTAATTCTGTCACAATATAATATGGAATTTAAAATTTTGGGCGAATTATTTATATCTGATTTTGGTTTGAAAGGCGGGAAAATTTTATATGATGACAATGTAGTTGATGCAAGTTAAGATCAGTTGATGTTAACATTGTCACAAAAAATTATACGAAATCGTAAACAGATTAAAAACAATGATTATAGAATGAAATAGTCACTTATAATAACTCTTATAATAACTCTTATAATAACTGATGTGACAAAGTAAACATGTCTTGCCCCTATTTTGAAGATCTATATTCTATACCTCTATTAGAATATTGTCCAGAACATCAGAGCTTAAGTTTAACAATTTTAGGTTAAATTTGTCAAAGTCACTAAAAATGTGACTAAATTAACTTTTCATGCCCCAACAATTTCAAGATAGTGTGTAAAAATTAGCATAGGCTGCTTTATTACCTATATAAATCAATCCAAACTACAAAAAAATATATGTTAATGTGATGACGATTACCTAACTCTTATAATAACTGATGTGACAAAGTAAACATGTCTTGCCCCTATTTTGAAGATCTATAACTCTATTAGAATTCAACATTCTTTCATAAACGATTGGAAGAATATTGTCCAGAACATAAGAACTCAATTTTAAAAATTTAGATTAATTTGTCAAAGACATTGAAAATGTGACAAAATTAACTTTCCCTGCCCCAACAGTATCAAGATAGTGTGTTAAAATTGGCATAGGATTTATTACAGTTATATTAAAGTATTAATCGATCCAAACTACGAAAAATATCTTTTAATCTGATGACGATTACCTAACTCTTATAATAACTGATGTGACAAAGTAAACATGTCTTGCCCCTATTTTGAAGAACTATACCTCTATTAGAATACTATGTAACTTTATCATCAAAAAAATTTCGATAAACTAGTTATTTTGCCAGCAAGGAGCTAACAGAGTTATAATAATTTTTTGTGACAAAATTACCATATTTTTGACCATGTAGCGGTAGTTTAATTGTGACACTGTTAACTTTCAGCAATACTCATATTACCACCTGATAATGATTTATTTGACTGGTGCATGGTACTAGCAGTGTTGTTTGATCCATAGTACATATAATATAAGGGGTTTAAGCTGGTACATCATTATTTGTTCAATTTCACACATGTTCAGATATCATCAAGATTATGTGACAAAGTAAGCTTGGTTGTGCCTTCTGTGTTTTAATTCCTTACGACTATATGATATAATAACAATTCCCAGCACTTCCAGGCCATCAAATAAACTTACACTACTCAGCATTGCTTATCAGAGTGCCCTAAACATTCATCACATATTTTCTTTAATGTGTGACAGAGTAAACCTGGATGCACCATCTAACGAAAAAAGTCGTCAAATATGTAGGTAATGGTCATATGTACCCATCCAATCAACTGGACACTCAAAAATTTGGTCAAGAACGGCAGCAAGGGGTCCATATTTACTCCGTCACATGTTTATAGTGTGACAATGTAACCATTTCCGTGCCGGCCGTATTTAAGCGATATCTTATCACCTGATTAAGATATCGTTATGTGACAAAGTTAGGCTGGAGGATGAGACGATTATCCTAACCATCAAGGGTTTAAGTAATTTCATAGTGTGAAAAAGTCAACTACACTGTGCCTTTTAATAGGGTCACTTATATTTACCAATATCCTCAAACTCAAATGAACGTGTCCATATATATCTTACAGAGGTTTTCCGACCACAACCCACAGTGAAGAGTAACATTGTTTATATTCAGCCATCAGCACTCAGCAGCAATTTTGAGAGCTGGAGTTCTCTCTTGCAAGAGATTGTAGGTTTCAATATGTGTCTGTGTCCTAGATAATACATTATTAATAAAATGTTACTACAGAAGGGAAATGGAATAGTTATCTATTATGGAGATGTGAAAATGAGCCAGTGGTCGAGGAGCCCTTTATTTTGGCATTTTAACAATGGATGCCGATGATCTCCTGCTGATGTACATGCCATATTGTGTATACAAGAAAATTACTGTATGTCTTGACGAAGCAATAAAGAAACATCCTGAATTTTTGTCACAACACAAAGGGAAGGAAAACAGTGAGTTCTTTATGTTTATTATATTTTATATGCTATACTGTATAACAATATTCGATTAGATTCACTTGAATCTGCTGTATAACTTGACCTAAGAAAATTAAATTGAGATATAGATGTAATAGCAGTGTTTAATAATATGTATTATATAATATGTAAAAATACCTGATTTTCACAGTCTTCTATTCATAGAATTATCATCACCTGGAGTGTTGCTATTTGACGAATTGTCCCGGAAGAGTTGGACTTGTCATAATCTCAAAGTAGAGATTGAGTCATATGGTGATGATGATATCTCTCAAAGCTTTCAAACAAGTGTTAATGGTAAGCTATGTTGTTTATTCCTTAAAATCATATTTTTTATGTGTTTCATTGCATAGATTGTTGGAGTGTCTTTTCTCTTATAAAGTTGGGGGGGGGGGGGGGGGGGGGGGGGGGGGGGTCCAACTACAAAAAATACGAACGCACCCCTAAAATTTCAAATTCGTATTCGTATTTTTTCGTATTTTTTACAAATCGTCATTTTGATAAATAGAAGATCACACATCTTCGTAATTAATCAGATCTAAGCTCAACTTAGCAGTGAAGAAACATTAAAATAATATGTAAACCATCATGTATCATACACAAAACCTGGGGGTGCAACAACAAAAACGATGAACCCACACAAAATTTTGAAATTCGCTCCCTTTTTATCGTTTTTTTATTAAAATTTGGGATATATTGTGATCCATTTTATGTTTTATTGGAAATTGGTCCATTTAACTGAATAATGTATAATCATTGAACAGCTATAAACTTGTTGTAGATCTTTAATAAGAGAGTACAGTTTACACTGTACCTACTACCTATCAATAAACGAGTAACCAATATATAATCTGAATGATATGAATTAATGTGATCAGTCCATCTGTACAATGTTTATTGTAATTTATGATAATACTGTACATGTTTCAAACCTGCTAGTTTATATTTTGTTATTTCACTTTACTGTTTTAGGCCCGGTACTCTTCAACATCTATCGATACACACTACACATCAGCACCATTCCCCTATTATTCAACGTCACTGACATTACATTTTAATAATCCCACGGCCCAGGAATGCAGTATAGATCACTTATCCTCAGCCCCCCTGTACGACGCAGCGCAATATGATTGGCTCTCATTAAACACGTGACGTGTTACTATAGTAATTGCAAAATTTCGTGGCAACTTTATGTTTATGTCGATGTTTATACACGCTCCAAACTCCACAATTTATTTTGACTGTTTCCATTTCTATAATTGCTCAAGCTATTTCGAGTAATTATGTGTTCCCGAAAGAAATTGTGCAGTCCTCCTCCTCCTTCTCCTCCTCATCAGTACTCCTCCTCCTCAGCCTCCTCATCCTCCTCCTTAGTCCTCCTCCTCCTCCTCATTCTCCTCATCCTCCTCAGTCCTCTTCCTCAGTCCTCATCCTCTTCCTCCTCAGACCTCCTCCTCCTCCTCAGTCCCCAGTCCTCATCCTACTCGTCAGTCCTCCTCATCCTCCTCATCCTCCTCCTCAGTCCTTCTCCTCCTCGTCAGTCCTCCTCCTCCTCATCACTCATCAGTCCTCCTTCTCCTTCTCATTCTTCTCATCCTCCTCAGTCCACTTCCTCAGTCCTCATCCTCTTCCTCCTCAGACCTCCTCCTCCTCCTCAGTCCCCAGTCCTCATCCTACTCGTCAGTCCTCCTCCTCCTCCTCCTCATCCTCCTCCTCCTCCTCCTCAGTCCTTCTCCTCCTCGTCAGTCTTCCTCCTCCTCCTCATCAGTCCTCCTTCTCCTTCTCCTCCTTCTCCTCCTACTCCTAAGATATCCTCCTCCTCCTCAGTCCTCCTCCTCCTTCTCCTCCTTCTCCTCCTTCTCCTCCTACTCCTAAGTCCTCCTCTTCCTCAGTCCTCCCCCAGTCCTCCTCCGCGTCAGTACTCCTCCGCGTCAGTACTCCTCCTCCTCATCCTCCTCCTTAGTCCTCCTCCTCCTCCTCTGTCCTACTCCTCACTCCTCCTCCTCCTCATCCTCCTCAGTCCTCTTCCTCAGTCCTCATCCTCTTCCTCCTCAGACCTCCTCCTCCTCAGTCCCCAGTCCTCATCCTACTCGTCAGTCCTCCTCCTCCTCCTCCTCATCCTCCTCTTCCTCCTCAGTCCTTCTCCTCCTCGTCAGTCCTCCTCCTCCTCATCAGTTCTCCTTCTCCTCCTTCTCCTCCTACTCCTAAGTCCTCCTCTTCAGTCCTCCTCCTCCTTCTCCTCCTTTTCCTCCTTCTCCTCCTACTCCTAAGTCCTCCTCCTCCTCAGTCCTCCCTCAGTTCTCCTCCTCATCAGTCCTCCTCAAGCCTCCTTCTCCTCCTCTTCATAACTTCATCCTCAGTCCTCCTCCTCATCATCCTCCTCGGTCCTACCCCAGTCCTCCTCCTCCTCCTCCTCATCAGTCCTCCTCCTCCTCCTCCTCCACCTCCTGAGTCCTCCTCCTGAGTCCTCCTCCTCCTCCTTCTCCTTCTTACTTTCTTATCAGTCCTCCTCCTCAGTCCTCGTCCTCGCTCTCGCTCTCGTCCTCCTCCTCAGTCCTCCTTAGTCCTCGCGTCCTCTTAGTCCTCCTCCTCCTCCCCGTCCTCAGTCCTCCTCCTCCTCCCCGTCCTCAGTCCTCCTCCTCCTCCCCGTCCTCAGTCCTCTTCCTCCTCCTCCTCCTCCTGAGTCCTCCTCCTCTGGAGTCCTCCTCCTCATCAGTCCTCCTCCTGAGTCCTCCTCCTCATCCTCCTCCACCTCCTGAGTCCTCCTCTTGAGTCATCCTCCTCCTCCTCATTCTCCTCCTTATCCTCCTCCTCAGTCCTCCTCATCCTCCTCCTCATTCTCCTCCTTATCCTCCTCCTCCTCAGTCCTCCTTCTCATCCTCGTCCTCCTCCTTCTCCTCCTAATCAGTCCTCCTCCTCAGTCGTCCTCCTCCTCTTCATTAGCCCTTGTCCTCATCCTCCTAGTCCTCGTCCTTAGTCCTCATCCTCATCCTCCTCGGTCTTCCTCCTCAGTCCTCCTCCTCCTCCTCATCAGTCTCCTCCTCCTCATTCTCCTCCTTCTCCTCCTACTGCTAAGTCCTCCTCCTCCTCAGTCCTCCCCCAGTCCTCCTCCTCATCAGTCCTCCCCCAGTCCTCCTTCTCCTCCTCCTCATCCTCAGTCCTCCTCCTCATCATCCTCCTCAATCCTCCCCCAGTCCTCCTCCTCCTCAGTCCTCCCCAAGTCCTCCTCTTCCTCAGTCCTCCCCCAGTCCTCCTTCTCATCCTCCTCATCCTCAGTCCTCCTCCTCAGTCCTCGTCCTTCTCCTTCTTATCAGTCCTCCTCCTCAGTCTTCCTCCTCATCCTCGCTCTCGTCCTCCTCCTCAGTCCTCCTCGTCCTTAGTCATCCTCCTCCTACTCCCCGTCCTCAGTCCTCTTCCTTCTCCTCCTTCTCGTCTTCCTCTTCCTCCTCCTCCTCACCAATCCTGCTCCTCTTCCTCAGTCCTCCCTCTCCTTTTCAGTCCTCCTCCTCAGTCCTCCTCCTCCTCAGTCCTCCTCCTCATCCTCCTCCTTCTCCTCTTCCTTCTCCTCCTAATCAGTCCTCCTCCTCAGTCCTCCTCTTCCTCCTCCTCCTCCTCACCAATCCTGCTCCTCTTCCTCAGTCCGACAGTCCTCCCTCTCCTCTTCAGTCCTCCTCCTCCTCAGTCCTCCTCCTCCTCCTCAGTCCTCCTCGGTCCTTCTCCTCCTCGTCAGTCTTCCCCAGTCCTCTTCCTCCTTCTCCTCCTCCTCCTCCTCAGTGCTCCTCTTCATCAGTCCTCCTCCTCCTCCTCATCAGTTTACACAATTTATTGTTACTAAAATGTTTTTAAACGCATTTGAGTCTGTAACATATTGACATGTTACTGTTACTGCCTCAAAATGTGCTCGAGAATTATTTTGTTTAAGAGAGTTTTACTCTCCAGTACTATGGAAAAGTTGTTACATGATGAATAAAGATTTTGATAAATAAAGTGATTTTCATCCCTTTTAATGTTATTAAAAATTGTGTAGACTATTCTTTGTATCTAACTGAGGATTGGAAGTTTGAGAAAGGACCATGGTCATTAACCGTGCTACCCATTTCTGCAGATAGCCTGTTACAAATTGTGGAGACAATTTAAATCAAAAGTTACTAAAGCGTTCGCTATTTTTTACGATTGTTATTACCAACCGTACCTCTTTCAATTGTGGACCGGGTGGATGTTTCTGTCAAACAAGAGTTGATACGACAGTGTGTTGTTTTTCGGACGAAACGATTCTTGTTTAGAACAAGAAACCATTTTGGGGTTCTGGGACCACCACCAATCGATTTCTTGTCATATTTAAGTACAGAAATAGCTACCTATATCGCCTAGAAACCTCAGAAAGATCTGATAGAATATTAATATGAATGTGCCATATATAGTCTATATATTATGAGTATTGCTGAAAGCACAGTGTAAGGCCTACACGGACCGCCTCTAACTAGCCAATCCCTGTTTACATGCCGTGTAGCAGGGGACTAGAAAGAGCTAAACTATTATAATATATAATGGGTTCAACCGAAGCTGATTAAATTTCGTTTTAGGAACCCAACTTACCAGACGTATTTGGCAATAATATTCTGTGATGAAGCATTCAAAGACCTTTATAAATCACAATTAATACATCATGATATCTGAATTGTGATAATATCCCAGTGATTTTGACATTTACGCTTACGTGAGATTGACAAGCAGCTAAACTCCAATTATTAATTAGTAGGTAATCGTAGTATTGTATTTTCATTTGTTCACCAGTTTTGCTGCCTCTTATTTATCTTCTCTGATGTCATACAGTGTAATATACGAAGATACAACGGAGAATACCAATGAATTTATAGATCCATTTCTCTGGGATATTTAGTTATTTCTAGAGTAAAAAAATGTTGGTAAAAAATACGAAAAAATACGAAAAAATACGAACGCACCCCTAAAATTTGAAATTCGTATTCGTATTTTTTGTAGTTGGACCCCCCCCAAGTTGGCTTAAGTCTGTCTTTGATTCTGACAATAGCTGATCCAGTTACTTAATAGATATTGTGTGCTTGATTGGAATTGGTTTTCTCTCTCAATACCAATTTACTACATAAGACTTATCTTACTGCTATCTCAGCAAATAAACACACAACAACTTTGACAATTGACAAATGATTAAACGATTGTGAGTTATGACGGACTTAACTGTATGGGTCAACTACTGAAACTGTATTGTATACTATCTTAAAGTTAATCATTATACTATACTGGATTATTATATATTATATAACAGTTATAAATGTTCAATAGTTGTAGAGCAATTTCAAGAGTAGTGGTCCACAGGGGTCCGAAAAAGCCGTACAGGCACTTGGGTCCTTATCCTTGTCACTAATCTCAACTGGATTCGGTTTACACAAAACATGAACATTTATTCGTACACATTGACACGATATTTATCAGAAAGCAAAAAATATAAAATAATACGTGCATGCGCGGCTTGAGCCGCGCCGCATTAGAATGGATGCGTGTAGGGGCTGGAGTACGCTTGTTTATAGATTAATGAAATGTTGCACTGTAAATATTTAGAATTGACGATATATTATGATCTAATCTAGTAAATATTACAAAGCTGGCTTTGGATTTAGGTTTAAGACTATAATTTATTTAAAAAAACGGATAGTTTTAAATTTATTTCTATTTGTCGTATAACTATAAACAAGTTAATCCTGTTTTCATAATTGCGCGGCTTTGGCAGCCAGTTATTGACTTATACATAAAATTGAATTTTAAATAGAAATGTGAATATATTAAAATTTAAAACTTTCAAAACGGAGGCTTATAAATACTATTATATTATGATTGTAAAATAAAGGATAAAATTTTAAATTTGTTTCACTAAAATTTGTTTCACTATCTTTGTGATCCTAATATCAACCAAAATAATAAAAAGAGCTGAACTTAGAACGTTTATAAAAGTGTTTGTTTGAAAGTTATTTGAAACTGTTTTCTTGAAATTTGTTGTTTTCTTGACTTCATTTAACAGATGTTCATGTTGCATGTAATAATCATCTAAAATTTCTGGAGCTGGGTCTCTGTCTTCTAAAGATAAAAATTTCAGTCATCGGAGACAAGAGCCAAAATGGAGAGCAAAGTTTGTTATCTCAAAACTTAGCATTACAAGATCATGTAGATGAATTAAATCTTCAACTACGTCTCCAAGAACAACACATAAGCAGAGTTGGCCATCAGGAACATTTGGTATGTAACTGTTTCACAGATATTATTTCATATTCTAATTATGTGCATCCCAATACCATGACTATTATTTAATTGTGGTGTAGGGTTATCCAATTTATTTATAATTTATTGGCAAACACAGTTTTATTTCTATATCTTCAGGTACCTCTTCAAAGAGGCAGTCACATGTACAGATCTCCTTCTCCCATAAATTGTCTCGAAGAAGACCCTGATGACATTGAATTTGGGTGAACAGTTTTGACACCTGCATTATTTGTTTAATTCTCCTGCTGAAGAGTGAAGATAGGAAATGATGATAGAAATTGCCACGCATCTCCAGATTGATTTGAAAATCTGGGCTACCTATAACAATATTACTAAAATAAGGAAAAGCTGTCATTTAAAATTTTTGAAATAGGTTTTAGATTTAGTTGTCGTGGTGGGAGTGAGCTCAATATTGAGATCTGTAAATAGATCTATAATTAGAGTTCATAAAAGTTAGGTCCACCTTTGTTGTCATAATAATATATGTCCAAATGTGTCTGTATTATTAGAACTTTATTATATATAGACGGTACTCTGTAACACAACAGGAACTGCTTAGAATATTAAAACATCAATGGCAGTGAAAGGATTATAATTTTGAAAATCTTGCTTTCCAGTCTTTTTACCTTCTTTCAGTTGCCCCCTTTTCTCCTGCCTTTGTTTTCATATGACTGTGTCCCATATGACTGTCCCATATATGACTGTGTCCCATATGACTGTAGCTCAGCATCTTTCTCGCAATTCTACGTACCTTGGTTTTCGAATTATCTAGTTTGAAGCTTACCAAATGTTGCCATTATAACACGACTTTCCTCCAGTTGCAGGCTAAACCCTTCACGGAATGTAAATTGTTAGCTGGACGATGATTGGTGATATGAGATTTTGGTATTCATGCTCACTTCCTTCAACTGTAAATTTGTATTATACTATCATAGTTATCCTGGAATTTATTTACAACTAGGTATTATTTCATACTGATTTGTGTGTTATTAGCTTTTATCTGGTGTTTGTTTGGGGTTTTGCAAGAAAGCTCAGAAGTAATGCAGGGTTCCCTAATTATATCCTTTTGGAAAATAACATAATTTAAATTTATTTGAATCTTTGAGTTTTTTAGAACTTGTAGAAACTTTTGATAAATTTCCAAATTAGTTTCCGATTTAACACCTCCAATTGAAACAAAAATGTACTTGTGCAATGAGAAGTTGTGTATTGTCTCATATTATAAACGATGGGAGGGGATAAGATTTAAAGTCCTTCTGCTGGCAATGATAATTTAGCATGTAAAATATTTTGAAAAAAAAAAACTCTGGCTAATATAACATAACTGTGAGAAGTAAATGGATAGTTGAGTATTTTATGGAAAATTGAAATAAAATCTAGTTTATGATAAATTTATTACTGTTTGTGTTACTATTTGGTTATTTTCCCATTTAATTTAATGATGAAGATCATGACGTCTTTTCATGATGTTTTAGTCTTGTATTATCTTTATATCATGTTTCCTTGATAATAATATGAAATGTCTAAAAAAGCATCAAATTAAGGTTATTTTCTACTAATACTGTCCATTCTTGCATCTCTCATTGTGAATTGAAAAATGTTGCACTGGACACAAAAATGTAATCGAAATCTGATCTCTTCAAGAAAACAACAAATTTTTCAAGAAAACATTTCTTAGTTGAATGTACACTGTATAGCATTTATTACATGAAATTGACAGGATTTATCTACAATAGACTACAGTATAGGACCATGCCAACAGAGGAAGATTTAAAAGCGATAGTTGTACACAAAAAGTACAGTTCCTCACGAAAAGGCAAGGGTGAGAGCGCTCGAAAGAGAAAGAGATCATCTTCCAGTGATAGCAGTCATACCTCTATATCTTCAGGTATCCCAGGTTTTCTTTCACCTTCTATTTTTTATATTAATTTACTGCCTATTAAGGGGCATAATTGTTGACCTCAAGTTAAAGCATTATAAGATATTTTAATCTATGAACATTTTTCTTTTATTAGCTATTGAAGTCAATTTTATTAATGCTTTTCATAGAATTTATTATATTCATGTAACAATCATCACAGAAACTGAACATAAGAGTGAAATAAAGCAAGAGGCGAAATCAGCAAATCCAGATGTGGGCTTCATTCCAAGTAGATTCTTGAAAGATAAACCTCAAAGACGAAGCTCGTCACGACGCCGCGAGGAGGAGACTCTAGTCAGCTATCCTGGGTACAAAGATTCAAAGTCCCGTCGAGATGAGGTGAAACGAGAGAGATCCTTGAATGAAAGACGAGATGAGAGGAGAGATGAGTCTAGAAGAGATGAGTCTAGAAGAGATGAGTCCAGAAGAGATGAGTCTAGAAGAGATGACAGAAGGGATGACAGAAGGGATGACAGAAGGGAGGATAGAAGGGATGAAAGAAGGGATGATAGAAGACACGAGGACGATGACAGGGGCAGACGTGATAGAGGTATAAACTATAAAACTAATAGATCGCTTTGTTTGCCAATTTTCACATTTTAACTTGTGATATCTTTTGTTTTTATATTTTCTTATCAAGTTATCACAGCAAAACAACATTTAAGATGACAACATTTAAGATGACAACTCGTATATATGGACACGTTCATTTGAGTTTGAGGATATTGGTAAACAAAAATAATAGCGTTTTTGACGATAGTGGCTTAATTTTGACATCTATTAACCTTTCACGTTCAGAAGTTCTGAACATTAGCCACGTAACCCATACTCCCATATGCACCGCTCAGAAAGAAAATCTATTGTTGTTAGGCACCATAATGTTTCAAATGTCACATTTTGTGTGACTTAGTTAACTGCAGTTGTCTAATTATCATTCCTTGGTCTGAAATATAGTAAATTAGGTCAATCTAACAATTATGATACAACATTGGTTAATGGGCACGGATCGAACGGTTACAAGGCAATATGTGGGTAACTTTGTCACACTCATGATACCATACCTCTATTCTACTGTGAGGTGTCCTAAAAAAACCTTTCAACTCATTATTTGATGGTTGCTCTACCGATCATAGCCCTAAAATGTGTTGTTTTGAATAATTAGCTAATACAGGCACTCGGTTATTGGGAAATTGAAATGAGGTTAATTCTGTCACAATATATGAAATTTAAAATTTTGAGCGAATTATTTATATCTGATTTTGGTTTGAAAGGCGGGAAAATTTTATATGATGACAATATAGTTGATGCAATTTAAGATCAGTTGATGTTTACATTGTCACAAAAAATTATACGAAATCGTAAATAGATTAAAAACAATGATTATAGAATGAAATAGTCTCTTATAATAACTCTTATAATAACTGATGTGACAAAGTAAACATGTCTTGCCCCTATTTTGAAGATCTATATTCTATACCTCTATTAGAATATTGTCCGGACCATCAGAGCTTAAGTTTAACAATTTTAGGTTAAATTTGTCAAATTCACTAAAAATGTGACAAAATTAACTTTTCATGCCCCAACAATTTCAAGATAATGTGTAAAAATTAGCATAGGCTGCTTTATTACCTATATAAATCAATCCAAACTACAAAAAATATATGTTAATGTGATGACGATTACCTAACTTTTATAATAACTGATGTGACAAAGTAAACATGTCTTGCCCCTATTTTGAAGATCTATAACTCTATTAGAATTCAACATTCTTTCAGAAACGATTGGAAGAATATTGTCCAGAACATAAGAGCTCAATTTTAAAAATTTAGATTAATTTGTCAAAGACATTGAAAATGTGACAAAATTAACTTTCCCTGCCCCAACAGTATCACGATAGTGTGTTATATTTGGCATAGGATTTATTACAGGACGATAGGGTCGTTTTTATAACCCACCTTTTCTAGACGAAAAACCAAATTACTAAACGCTATAACGAATCTATAGCATATATGCTCAAAATTTATTGGGCTACATATAATGAAGCCCAATAAATTTTGAGTATATATGCTATAGATTCGTTATAGCGTTTAGTAATTTGGTTTTTCGTCTAGAAAAGGTGGGTCATAAAACGACCCTATCGTCCCTATTCCCTAATGGGTTAAAGTATTAATCGATCCAAACTACGAAAAATATCTTTTAATCTGATGACGATTACCTAACTCTTATAATAACTGATGTGACAAAGTAAACATGTCTTGCCCTTATTTTGAAGAACTATACCTCTATTAGATAACTATGTAACTTTATCATCAAACAAATTTCGATAAACTAGTTATTTTGCCAGCAAGGAGCTAACAGAGTTATAATAATTTTGTGTGACGAAATTACCCTATTTTTGACCATGTAGCGGTAGTTTAATTGTGACACTGTTATCATATTACCACCTGATAATGATTTATGTGACTGGTGCATGGTACTAGCAGTGTTGTTTGATCCATAGTACGTATAATATAAGGGGTTTAAGCTGGTATATCATTAATTGTTCAATTTCACACATGTTCAGATATCATCAAGATTATGTGACAAAGTAAGCTTGGTTGTGCCTTCTGTGTTTTAATTCCTTACGACTATATGATATAATAACAATTCCCAGCACTTCCAGGCCATCAAATAAACTTACACTACTCAACATTGCTTATCAGGGTGCCCTAAACATTCATCACATATTTTCTTTTATGTGTGACAGAGTAAACCTGAATGCACCATCTAACGAAAAAAGTCGTCAAATATGTAGGTAATGGTCATATGTACCCATCCAATCAACTGGAAACTCAAAAATTTGGTCAAAAACGGCAGCAAGGGGTCCATATTTACTCCGTCACATGTTTATAGTGTGACAATGTAACCATTTCCGTGCCGGCCGTATTTAAGCGATATCTTATCACCTGATTAAGATATCGTTATGTGACAAAGTTAGCCTAGAGGATGAGACGATTATCCTAACCATCAAGGGTTTAAGTAATTTCATAGTGTGACAAAGTCAACTACACTGTGCCTTTTAGTAGCGTCACTTATATTTACCAATATCCTCAAACTCAAATGAACGTGTCCATATACGAGTCTGTATTTAATTTATAAATTCCCTGATTTCAGATGTTACTTTAACATTGCACCAGATTACTGGCACCAGATTACTGGCACCAGATTACTTGAAACTCGTTACATCTGTTGGGAACAGCAAATTGACAAAATAAATACTTTCAGACCACGACAATAGGCGAGATGACCGTGGACGGGTAGATGACGATAACGTCACACGGCGCCCACGTGCGGAAGAGGACAATTCGCGCGGATCAAGGAATGACTACCAGAAATCATTCGCCAACCAGAGAAGAGATCCCGAGCAAACCAGACCCAGGCGTGGCGATGAGGATAACAGGTTAATTTTCAATCCTTGAGATAAAAAGAGAAGTCCAGTAAAACGTTGATTTCAAATTGTTTGAATTTCTGAGACGCATTGGAATTTTGAGATATGCCTTGATAATCACCATTTAATAGCGAACATTGTGTTTTCAGAAGGAAGCCAAGAGAGGATCCAGAAAGGGTCTCAGGAAAGAGGTCTTCGTCTATAGATTCGAACAAAAGAAAAGGCAGGGTAAGTTATTTAACAATTATATTAACATATAGTTTAATATTTCTAACACATTATATTAAAACATGATTGACCAACCTTTTGTCGTCGGTTTTCGTTTATAAGCTAATCGAATTCTGACCAAACGTTAGATATGTATTTTGATGTTAATGTTAAGATAGAAATTTTGCCATTTCAGTACAATGCAATTGCAATAAGATGACATATTTATTGACATTCCAGAGAGATGAAGATGAAGATTATGACCCAATCTCAGACGAGGAGTTAGCTATGTTAGAGGAAGATGCTGGAATCATAGAGATCTACAAAGAGTTGGAGCGTGAAATGCGCAGCAAGCGCTACACCGCCAACCTGGATAGTGTTGATTTCAGCGCTCTTGATTTATTGAAACCTGAGGTATGCTGAGCTCGTGATATCATGGATCGCTTAGGTTCCACCAGGATCTGGTAGTCCTCATAATTCTGCGGCCTCCATGTATCGTCATCTCGCACAACTCTTTGAGAATCTTGTGAATTTGGCTTGTGAAAATGTGCAGCCTTCCAGACATTAATTGAGTCAACGAGGTGTCGTACGTCACCTCAAGATCGGGTGACAGGGGGCTGACCAGGCCAGAACCCAATTGATTGGGTCTGAGGTCACGTCATTATGACTTATGAGCCTGAGGTCACGTGACTATGACGTCACCTTGTTCTCCGTTTCCCGCTCATTGGACCAGGTGAGCTTGCATGCTTGTGAATGTGGGTGTAAGTACAGCTGTACTGTAGTTTATACCTAATTACCCCCTATAAAAACCGAAAATTTATTTTCAGGCAGAAGCTAGAAATTTACCAAAGTATCGACATTCGACATTGCTATAAACTTATTTTACGTATTTGTTACCTGTTACTAATTAATCAACAGGATCATAATGTTGATTGTATCGATGAAACATGGATTTTAAGGCATAAGGAAGCATTTTTGAGTTCTGAAACCAAGTTTAATCGATTTCTCATGCAATTTTAGGTCAGGGATGGTCATCAAAATAAGTTTATAGCAATGTCGATACTTTGGTAAATTTCTATCTTTCTGCCAAAAAATAAGTTTCGGTTTCTATAGGGGGTAATTAGGTATGACCCCCTATAGAAACACACCCACATTCACAAGCATGCAAGCTCACCTGGTCCAATGAGCGGGAAACGGAGAACAAGGTGACGTCATAGTCAAGCAACCTCCTGTCACCCGATCTTGAGGTGATGTACAACACCTCGTTGACTCAATCAATGTCTGGAAGGCTGCAAATTTTCACATGCCAAATTCACAAGATTCTTAAAGAATTGTGCGAGATGACGATACATAGAGGCCGTAGAATTATGAGGACTACCAGATCCTGGTGGAACCTAAGCGATCCATGATATCACGACAGGCCCTCAGCCTGAGCTGGAACTCTGGAATTTTGGGTTTTGTTTAGAATGTACAGATTTCTGTTTTGGAATTTTTTCGGGTGACTATTACAATTTTATTGGAACGTGGAAAGTCGTCTGTTGCTATGTAAATTTCGTCTGAAATATTAGCTTGATACTGTTGGTTGAGCCTGATTTCTATTGAAAAACTTCTGTAAAAATATGACTGATGATAACAACTCATGTTTAGAAGAAACTAGAACCGGAACCGAGGAAGAAGGACCCCATAGACCGGCTACTGAAGTGTGGCTACAGCGCTAACTACGGTGGTAAAGCAATCACTGAAAAGATAAAAGCATTGTCTTTACAGAGGGGTGTAGGTGAGAAATATTCCGGAATATTTCGAAATGTTCCGAATATTCAGAGTTTAGATGTTGCTTTGAAGATTATTCAATAAGATCATAGCATAGTATGGTATTTAGTCATTTGACGCACGGTAAAAAATATGAAAACTATCAAATAGTTACAAGTTTTACAATATTATTGAGATTTTTGTCACTAAATTCACCTAACACTTAACAGTTAACACCACCCAGAAGCACCGCTGAACGGAGCGTTCTCAGCCAACAAGAAGACATTGAGAACAGTGTTCCAAGAAACCCTGTCCCCACACATAGCTTTATCTTCTCACACTGACCTTCTTCTTAGACAGAAACTAGCGCTACTGTCACGTGATAAGAACGTGAGTTTGGAAATTCTTATCTTCTATTTATGTTATCTTATCTTGTTAGTTGTTCCACTAGCGTATATACAGTATAGGAGAGCGGCTGGGGTTATGGTAGTGCAAACTTTTTAGACTAAAACATGAGAATCTTTTTTCGGCTGGAAGATCGGTTTGAGTAATTGCCCTTACTAACATACATACATACATACACTGCATGTTTCTTGTGTATTTGAATGTTACTTAGAGTAAATGTGTGATTATTATTAGTGTGAATGTGTGTATTGTTAAATTTTCACACACATTTTCACTAAATGTGTGATTGATTTCAGGGCTTATACGTGGAAAAGCGTGAGGTGACTTGATATTGAGCTATGATTTAATGTGATGTGTTGGTCCAAAAGTGACGTAGCGTTTCTTGGCCAATTATAGCATGTTATCAGCTATCTGGTCTTGTTGACATTGTGTTAATTATGGCCCAACCTGTATTACCTAATCATTTGCTGCTGGCTGTCATTTTGCTGGTTTTCAATTGTTTACCTTACGAGACATATTTAAATGGTACGAAAGTGGTTTTTCGAAAAAATCACCAAAATTTAGGTCACCGTCATTTAACAGACACCATCGCGTCGGTCTCCTATACCGTCTAGAGGATTAGAAGTTAAGTTGAGGCTAAGTTTTAAAGGCTCCGGAGGAATTGTTTACAAGATAAAACAGCTGATCAGAGAAGATCTTTGTACCCTTATCAAATATTGGGTTTCATTTTTGTAAAATAAGGAGCTGATGAAAAAATCCCCATATTCGCTACAAGAGAAACGCTCTTCAAACTACATTACCATGATTTAATTTGGGGTACGAAATTTGGCGTTTTTCGGAAAAAATTCCCATATTTTCGTTCCCAAATTATTTTGGTCACCGGAATTATGTCGAACATGAATATGTCTCGTTAGGTATCAGAGCTGATCATAAGTAAATTAAAATTAAAATAATGAGCTTTTAATACGCAAGAAGGCCGTTTGACACTCGCTGTACAGATTTGATTTTAGAACTTTAGAAGAACTGGCTTGCTTTGCCTCCGTATCTGTGATAAATTAAATAATTGGAATGAAAAAAAAGACAACAATCAATTATTTTAATCGACATAAAATAATAAATCTAACTCTTACTCACTATTCAGGTGTCAGAGATAGTTTTAACAGATGAGCCAGTTAACAACACATTACTAAACGACAGTGTAAAACTCTTCAACCAGATGGCGGGAACTAACCTGGAAGTAAAATAAGACAATCCACGTGATGCCCATATAAGGAGCATTTGATTTTAACTATTTGATTTGTTGAGTTCCAGAACATTGACTAATTAATTGATTTTCAATTATCTTATCAGTTACATGATTACATTTTGTGATAAGCCCGGCACGAGATATACCGATAATATCGGACATAATGGATGATAATGGTTAGTAACCATTGGTTACGTTACGCTGGAGTAACCTTACGGAAGTGAATTGCAGGATATAAATATCGAATCAGTGTGATGATGTAATCATGTAAAGCTAGATGGGTTAGACCTTGTGTACGTGTATTATCTGAACTTAGTTTGTCTCCTTGAGAGCCCCTTATAGTTAGCTGTTGTTTCGTTTAACCAATTTGTAACTTTTTGAGTGTTTATTTCTTATTCTCGATTAGACAGAACACATTCCACTTGATTACATGATTCGTACTGTTTAGATTTAGTTACCCTGACCTATACTTTACGACATAATCAAACTAATAATCAAACTGGTAAGATCACGTACCGTTCTTACTGTCTATATTTTTGAATCTGCGTTAACGTGTACAAGAGGCACGAGCAGGGGTGTAGGAAGCGGGGGGGGGGGGGCACGAGGGTACGGTCAGATTAAATTAAAGATTAAATTTCACGGGTACTGCAACTAATAAGTGAATAAGTAAAAGTCACGCATTGACCCGTAAGTGATAGTTGCCCTTTGTCCTTTGTCTTGCATTGACACTGTGTGCATGATTCTCAGTTTAGAAGTAACATGTTTATTCACGTAATTATAATCACTAAGTTATTTAACTAAGAATGAAAGAGATCCTACCACCTTGGTTAAACGTACACGTAAGGCACGTCCATCCGCCTGGCAGTGGCTGACTGTTTTTACAAGATTACATATTATTGTATTTGTGTAAATTGAGCTTCTGCTTTAATTTATTTACTAGGCGTTGTTTCATTTATTTGTATCCATGTCGTATCATAAAAAGTAAAATCCACCATTTGCAAGTCACGGTTTACAAACTGCGAAACTGTACTAGGCTTGATTATTTTGATGTGCTGCATATTTAATCTATTAATAGAGTTTCCGAGTGATATAATGGCGAAATTTCTATTTATTTGGAATTAATACAAACTGGATTTGTCTTTGAAGTTTGAATCACCGAGTACTCTTAACATTACATTTTATAAGATCGGTGCAATGGAATGGCGGTAGTAAACGAGGGAATATTTACGGAGAAAGAAATTGAAGCTCCAGAAAGATCAATTCATAATACACTAAACAACAATGGAATAGACAACAACATGATCGGGTCAGATGATGCCACAGTTGTTATAGCTAAAACTCCAGCAAGAAGTGAAGTTCCTTGTGAAGTTCCTTGTGAAGTTCCTTGTGAAGTTCCTTGTGAAGTTTCCAACGAGATTATTAATGCAAAAGCTGCTCCCGAGGACGGGAAAGGAGAATCTGCTGTTCTGAACGGTGACTCAGATACGAGTGAGTTTATTACAGAAACAGATATAAAGGCACTCGTGGTAAAAGTTGAACCGAGTGTAGAAGTAGCCGAATCAAGTTCATCAATTGCTGAATCACCTGAAGCAGTAGCTGAATCACCTGAAGCAGTAGCTGAATCATCTGAGGCAGTTACTGAATCACCTGAAGCAGTAGCTGAATCACCTGAAGCAGTTACCGAATCACCTGAAGTAGTAGCTGAATCACCTGAAGCAGTAGCTGAATCGCCTGAGGCAGTAGCTGAATCACCTGAAGCAGTAGCTGAATCACCTGAGGCAGTAGCTGAATCACCTGAAGCAGTAGCTGAATCACCTGAAGCAGTAGCTGAATCACCTGAAGCAGTTACTGAATCACCTGAAGCAGTAGCTGAATCACCTGAAGCAGTAGCTGAATCACCTAAAGCAGTTACTGAATCACCTGAAGCAGTAGCTGAATCACCTGAAGCAGTAGCTGAATCACCTGAAGCAGTTACTGAATCACCTGAAGCAGTAGCTGAATTACTTGAGGCAGTAGCTGAATCACCTGAAGCAGTAGCTGAATCACCTGAGGCAGTAGCTGAATCACCTAAAGCAGTTACTGAATCACCTGAAGCAGTAGCTGAATCACCTGAAGCAGTAGCTGAATCACCTGAAGCAGTTACTGAATCACCTGAAGCAGTAGCTGAATCACCTGAAGCAGTTACCGAATCACCTGAAGAAGTAGCTGAATCACTTGAGGCAGTAGCTGAATCACATGAAGCAGTTACTGAATCACCTGAAGCAGTAGCTGAATCACCTGAGGCAGTAGCTGAATCACCTGAAGCAGTTACTGAATCACCTGAAGCAGTAGCTGAATCACCTGAAGCAGTAGCTGAATCACCTGAAGCAGTAGCTGAATCACCTGAAGCAGTAGCTGAATCACCTGAAGCAGTTACCGAATCACCTGAAGAAGTAGCTGAATCACTTGAGGCAGTAGCTGAATCACATGAAGCAGTTACTGAATCACCTGAAGCAGTAGCTGAATCACCTGAGGCAGTAGCTGAATCACCTGAAGCAGTTACTGAATCACCTGAAGCAGTAGCTGAATCACCTGAAGCAGTTATCGAATCACCTGAAGCAGTATCTGAATCACCTGAGGCAGTAGCTGAATCACCTGAAGCAGTTCCTGAATCACGTGAAGCAGTAGCTGAATCGCGTGAAGCAGTAGCTGAATCACCTGAAGCAGTAGCTGAATCACCTGAAGCAGTAGCTGAATCACCTGAAGCAGTAGCTGAATCACCTGAAGCAGTAGCTGAATCGCGTGAAGCAGTAGCTGAATCACCTGAAGCAGTAGCTGAATCACCTGAAGCAGTAGCTGAATCGCGTGAAGCAGTAGCTGAATCACCTGAAGCAGTAGCTGAATCACCTGAAGCAGTAGCTGAATCACCTGAGGCAGTAGCTGAATCACCTGAAGCAGTTACTGAATCACCTGAAGCAGTAGCTGAATCACCTGAAGCAGTAGCTGAATCACCTGAGGCAGTTACTGAATCACCTGGAGCAGTAGCTGAATCACCTGTAGCAGTTACTGAATCACCTGAGGCAGTAGCTGAATCACCTGAAGCAGTTACTGAATCACCTGAAGCAGTTACTGAATCACCTGAAGCAGTTACTGAATCACCTGAAGCAGTTACTGAATCACCTGAAGCAGTAGCTGAATCACCTGTAGCAGTTACTGAATCACCTGAGGCAGTAGCTGAATCACCTGAAGCAGTAGCTGAATCACCTGAAGCAGTTATCGAATCACCTGAAGCAGTACCTGAATCACCTGAAGCAGTTACTGAATCACCTGAAGCAGTAGCTGAATCACTTGAGGCAGTAGCTGAAACACATGAGGTAGTAGCTGAATCACCTGAGGCAGTAGCTGAATTATCTGAAGCAGTTACTGAATCACCTGAAGCAGTTACTGAATCACCTGAAGCAGTAGCTGAATCACTTGAGGCAGTAGCTGAAACACCTGAAGCAGTTACTGAATCACCTGAAGCAGTTACTGAATCACCTGAAGCAGTAGCTGAATCACCTGAGGCAGTAGCTGAATCACCTGAGGCAGTAGCTGAATCATCTGAAGCAGTAGCTGAATTATCTCAAGATAGCATTTGCCTTCCAGATAGCACTAATCTAGCACCCGAGATCGTTTCAGATCAGCAAAAACCCGCTATCAGCCAAGTCCAGAATCTAAACGAGAATTTACTCATCAAAAATGATCTTCTCGGCTCGTTGAATCTGATAGATGCTGCTCCCGCTCCCCTCCTGCCTGGTACAGACTGGGACCAGGGGAGCAGTGTGGATCTCGGAGAGAGTGAAGGAGAAAGTGAAAGTGAAAGTGAACTTAATGACGAAGTGAAATGTTGTCCTCATGCCCACCAGTTTGTTAACGATCTGTGAGTTTTTAATTTAAATTAGTGCCCATAGTTAGGGTAGTTACAAGTTATATATTGTTGATGAGTCGAAGCTTTGTTAATCGATAAAAATAAGTTTTTACCATACATTTAAAAGTAATTTAATGAGAGATTGTGGATTTAAATGCGATAAAAATGTATACTTCACTATATCATAATATTATTATTGTACATGATGTACTTTTTGACTAAAATGTGTACAGAATAACATTTAGCAGCTCTGAAGAAGCTAGCTCAGCAGGAGAAGCCCAGGACATCAAAGAGCTGAGGAAAGAACGGAGACAGAAAAAAAGTAGGAAAAGAAAACAAAGACTCAAAAAGTATGCAATTACGCTTAAGTTGGCCCATTTTAAAATCAAATCAAATCAAATCAAAATATAATGACACAAACATCATCACACATCATCAAAAATATATCTACTAAAGTTAAAAATTATCTTAAATCTATTGGCCTAGACAACCAAGTTAAAATGAATCTAATTTACATACTTTCCACTTTTAAATTAACGATTTAAATAATTTTGAGTTGAGTATCATTATGTGTTCCAAATGTTCAATATTTATGTTATAATTTCACTGGGTAGTTATGTAATCACGTGATCAATATTCACCAGATTTAATCTCTACCATTTCAGATGTTGTTCAGGTTGTGATGGTCAGGAGAGTGTTGAACCTCTGACATCTGAGTTACCCTCACCTATTGGTCTTAGTACCGGTAAGTTACCCTCACCTATTGGTCTCAGTACTGGTAACTGTTTAGATTTTAGATATCAGTAGATAAACTTGGTTACCACGGGTGACCGAGTTGAGCCATAAGTTTTGTAACAGCAGTTAAAGTTGCAGCGGCAACCAATCAAAGCAATATATCACATCACGTGTCAAAACAATCAAGGCTCTACTCTGCTGTAGTAACCAGATTAAATTTCGTTATTAACCAAACAATTATGTTCAGTTCGCATTGGTTCAGTTTATATTTAATAGACCTTTTTCCACCACCATATGTTTCAAATTTGTACGGAAAATCTTGATAAACCCTCAGGAATGCTGCAATGTAACGTCATCAAATCATTTGAAGAGGTTGTTTCCACGCGTTATAACTCCGAGGAGGAGATAGATGCAGCGATTAACTCGTACAGTACTGTTGGGGGACGGTTAGCCCATCAGAACGAGCAGACCTTCAGTGACGTGGATATAGCGGGCTATAAGTCGCGTGAGTTACACGTGATCTATCTTGTCTATTGACTAACTGAGTGAAGTAACGTTATTTTGGCACTGTTGATTTGGTTACATTAGTAGGTTTGCTGGCTGACAAGTCAAAGAATAGCTTAAAAAGCTGGCATGTGTAAGCTTGTTGCGGTGATGAAATAATAACAAATGTCATGCAACTAAATATTTGTTAAGAAGTTTGTGTAGCTGTCAGTTGTTTATTGTTAGGCAAGCATATCATCAAATGTAAGTAAGTTATCGTACAAGATATAATGTTCATGTACATCTAATGTATATATGCAGTATACTTACTTTGGTAGTTAACTTTTTTGGCAGTATTTATCAAGAAGTTGGTCCGTATTATTAAGTAATGTGCTTAATACTAAATATAAAACACCCTAGGAAGTGATTGCGGGAGTCCTGCATCAGATCCTGACCTCTTGGTTTGTGATTACTCAAACTCCGTGGGCAGAAAACTGGCTAATAGGTCAGTATTTTTCTTGATTTCATTTGTGGCAATTAACTGGTTGCCTGATGAGTGGAAGTTGGTCTGATAGCTAAAATAAGAATGTGTGTACAACTACACAAAAACCATCAACTCTGTGTGGAGTATTTTTGTATTACCAGCGATTATCCCATAGTGTTGCAACTTTATTCTTTGAGAGAAGCCCCACTCAATTAATTCATCTTGATATGACTGTCCCAAGTCACAACGCGCTATGTCAATATTCGTAGCCCGCAATACTTTAAAATCGACTAAAACATGAAAGTTCAGCAGTCCTATTACGCGCAAAATGGCGCGCGTCAACCAATCAAAACAAACTTATTTAAACGCGTTCATTCTGCAGGAATTTGAATAATCAAAATGACAACCTGGACGAATGTATTGGTGGTTTCCTTCTGGATACTCTGAATCAGAATTTGGATCCTACCAGTAGACTCTTTGCGATGGAGGTTGAAGAGTTGAATACCATGGTCAAAGGATTACACCTCAAATTACAAAGTCAGTCACAACTCAATTGTGATAGCCTTGAAGTTTAAATTTTGTCCTGGGAAATTGATTGTAATTAGCAGAATTAATCTCTCCATCAAGTTACTTTTTGTCATTTATATAGCATTAATCTCAAACAAATGTAGTTGGGTTAACGAGGTGTATTTCAGATGTTAGCGAGGATTTAGTCAACGTGGTTACAGAAAATGACGACCTAAAAGCTCAGAAATCTGTCATAACGAAACACGTGACTCAATTATCTCGGTATGTTTTGCTAACTGAATAATTATAAAAAACAGTTTATGTTCCAATACTTTGTAGTTTAGTTGAAAAGATATCAGATTCTGAAGCGGATCTTGAGGGTATTCCACTACTAATAAAGATGATTCTGCCGTATAATTTCGTTATTTCTGCAGGCTAGCCCAGGGTTTCAGAGCAAACGACAATTCAGCCTTCCGGAAGATCTTAGTCACCAGAGAAACTGACATCTAGGGACTTATTGATGTCAAAAATCATAACTTTTTATTGTTTTATTTCGCTAGTATATTATTCGCAGTGAGGGAGCGTTCAGATATTACGTCAGCAGGTTTTTGGCCATTTTTACCCCCCCCCCCCCCAGGATTCAGGTATTCGGCAAGGCCCAGACCACCCTTCCCCATCGTTGGCAACCGCCAGCATTTCCAAACCCCCTCCCTCTCGGCTTCTGATGTGATAGGTGAACGCTCCCTAAAATATTAAATTATACCAATTCAGCAGTAAAACTGTATGTGTAAGATATTCTGTATTTTTTTTCATGTTTTTAAGGAGAAAGATTTATCGTAAATTTATATCAAAATTCAAACTATTCAAATATTTTAGTTGTTTTATATCTGTTATATACCGGTTTATTGTTATATTTTATTTCATCGCTTTCTAAACTATCAAGTTTCTACCAATTACGCATTTTAATATCAGCTGACCATTCTTACTCTTGAAAAATCTTATACTTGCTTTGGATAAAATCAATCCCAAATCAAACAAGCAAACATTGAATTACGATGGACTAGAAATTGATAGGGCTACTACGTCTGTTCAAATTTGTATCATTGAAAGAATTGTGATTTGATAATACCCAATTTTTCAAAATTGTCACTGTTCGTGATGCCACCGTTAAACAGAGCATCTTAACTGCAACTAATTATCAAATTATTAACAGATAATTAACTCCCAAGTAGAAGATGATAAAAGTACGTAACGAACTCGGTGAATCCCCCTGCTACCTCTGTGATTTTGCGTGCAGCACAAAACAGAAACTAGCTTACCACACCTTTACAGTTCACAACACACCTCAGAGTTTGATTTGCAGCTACTGTCAGTTCAAGTTCAAAGATGTCTCATCTGTTAGGTTAATTGGTTAATTAATAAAATTATCTAACTTATGCACTTATTAAACCATTTGGGCTCAAAATTTTGCTTGAATCTATTTATGGTTGGGGATGGTTGTTGGAATTGAACATCGGTGGGGCAGCTTACACTTTACAGCTATGTGAATTTGTCCATTCATCGAGACCAGAAAATTTATGTAAACTTTTTTACCAGTAGTCCTTTCCATTTTTCCATATCATCTTTGGTATTATGAAATCTATCGTTAATGTAAGTATGCACCTCAAACAACTACATGGTATCTGGCCAATAGTTTATAAATAATTTGACGGTCTTGTTTTCAGGAGGCATATCCGCACAGTTCACATCAACGCTAAAGATTACATGTGTACTTACTGCAACAAGAAATACAAACACAAATATGATCTGGAGAAACACTTTTCCAAGGTATGATACAAATTCAAATTTATAAATTGACAATTTTGATATTTTATTGTTTGTGTCCCTGAATAATATATCAGTATTTAGTTCTAATTATGTGACACTATCTCTTACCAAATTTACATAGATAAAACAAAACACAGTATAACTGTGTTAGCCAACATTAAAACAATTTGTTGTTTCAGATTCACAAGACAAGACCAATGGAGGGGCAAAACTTCTGCTCTGAGTGTAAACTACTCTGCTTTGGGTGGGAACAGCTCAAGAAACATTACCTGGACGCTCATGGTAGGATTTTGGTGAAATGTTTGACTTTGTACATCTCCAATCTCCATGATGATTTCAACATATCCATTATCCATAGTCATTAGTCAACGTTACGATTCAATGGCATATTTTTACTTCACTTCTTAGAAAATTGTATCGTCATAAAAGTAAGGACAATAAAAACCCACCCACGTTTTGGGTCCATAGCTGATTAGTCTAATTAGTCTAATTAACTAACTAGACGAACTATCATTAATAACACAATCTCAGGTAAAACAATACAACATATAAAGTGTCCCCAATGTTATAAGATCTTCTTTGATGTGATGTATTTGAAGCAGCATTTCAAACGGGTCCATAACAACAAGACTATGAGTGTTGTCTACTGCCAGGTAAGTGATAAGTTAATTAATTAATTAAGTGATAAGTAAATTAATTAATTAAATGATCAGTTAATTAATGACTAATTAAGTAATACGTTAATTAATTAATTACCCTAATTAAGTGATAAGTTAATTAATTAACTGACTGCGTCAAATAAACAATTACTTGTTTATTTTAACAATTTATAAATGTAATGAGGTCTGATCGTCATCTTCTTACCTTAGTATTGCTGTTCTACTAAATTTATAAATGTATTCGCCGCGGCACTCAGCACTGGCATGTCAGTAAATTCACTTGTGAGTTCAGTAGCTCTCACAATACGTTATATTATGTGCCTCGACGGGCTAAAGTAGTGGATGACCTTGCTGTACGGCAAGTTAAACAAGGATCTGAAACTACTAGGTTCCGTACAGACTCAACTCTGCACCCGTGTCAATATGTTCATTATATGCAAGCCTCTTGATTTATATCAAGATAAAGTTGTACCTTGCGATAATATCGACATTTTCAACTTGCTTGTGAAATGTTAAATACTTGTCCAGCACTGTGGAGCAGTGTTTGAAGAAGACACAGCGCTAGTCCGGCACATGGAAGAAAAACACTTCTGGAACGGAGAAAGTGCCGTGTTCTGCCGGGAGGACCAGTGTGACGAACTGTTTGAGGACATGTCCGAGCTGGAGACTCATATTCAGGTATACAATAGTTTGAGGACATGTCCGAGCTGGAGACTCATATTCAGGTATACAATTACAATAGTTTGAGGACATGTCCGAGCTGAAGACTCATATTCAGGTATACAATAGTTTGAGGACATGTCCGAGCTGGAGACTCATATTCAGGTATACAATAGTTTGAGGACATGTCCGAGCTGGAGACACATATTCAGGTATACAATAGTTTGAGGACATGTCCGAGTTGGAGACTTATATTTAGGTATACAAGAGTTTAGTTTGAGGACATGTCCGAGTTTAGTTTCTAGGCAACAACAGAGCCTTGAATATGATAGAAGAGTAACAGTGTGTGGCCAAGTGACAGCCATTAACCAATCACTGATTAGGATAATGAGCTAAATTTATTTCAGGCGGTTCACAAGGGTAGTAAAAGAGTTCGAGTATCCCCTACCTCATATTGTAGTGGTACCGAGTCAGATTGTCCAGTTTGTTCAGATACTCAGCCTTCCAAATTACAGGTATTGATTAATAAACTAGACTTTGATTAATAAATTTAGTAAGAAAGATACTAACAAATACACAATACACATGCTCATACCCAAGTCCCAAATGATTAGCAATAAATGTTTTCATACCTTAACGCTTAAGGTCGCAGTCAAACCATCTCCTAAAAATATGACTTAATACGAGCGTTAGTGTACCTAACTTCCGTTACTAGGTTATCATATATAATTAATCATTATTCGTTAGCTTATTATTATGTTTAGCGTGCATGGGTGTAGTGTGTACGCTAAAACGTATACACCAGTACTTTCTTAGCTTTAAAAGGTCAGGCCTTTTTAAATGGCTTCTTTTTAATACTAAGATACTACATAATTCTATAATTGAGTCTAATTACCCCTGTTTTCAGTTAGTAGCACATTTGACGGAGAGTCACCATTGGAGATCAGTTATGGAATGTCAAAAATGTTACAAACTATTCCCCACGTGCGCAGAAGTTCAGGTTAGAAATGCTACAAACGATTATTTATAATGGTTAAAAATCGAACGAATATCAAATCTAATCAATTAGTTAATTGATGACCCAATAACCTCAGGAGCATTTAAACTCACACTGTTTGGAACCTGAAGATGCGCCTCTCTTACCGAGCGGGAAACATTCCATCCTGAAGAAGAGATTGCTGAAGAGGAAGAATATTAAAGACCTGTCACGTGACTTGGAACCTAGATTCTTTGTGGGCTTCGTCCGGCTGGACGATCAGAAGGTACGTTGTTTAACTCATTTAATAACTTATAACTTATTTTTAACTTATTTAATAACTTATAACTTATTTAAGAGGAAATGTGGTTTCTAGAAACCTGAAGATTAGTCTGAATATCAATCATCCCTTTCAAACAAATGTTGATTACATTTCATTAACATTTATCCTTATTATTAACGACTCCCAACCATAAACATTTTTCATCGAGGCAGTTAACAATTCGCCTCTCATCACAATAAAAATGGGAGAATCTGGTACCAATATTATCCAACGATCACATTTCTCAGGAGCCCGCGTTGCAAGAAGAGGTCGAAGTGGAAACGAACAATGGAGAAGGGAGCAGTTACCATGATGACGCAGAACAACCAAGTTACCATGACGATGCAGAACAATCTAGCTACCAAGACGATGCAGAACAGTCTAGTTACCATGAAAATAGCTCTGCGCATTTCCACGAAGACGAACAATACCATGACAACCCTGACAGCGACGGTTGCCATGACAATACTGATAGTTGCCATGGCAACGCTGGTGCATGTCATAATGGGGAGTGTGGTGACTGTACTCAGCATGAAGTTGGGACAAAGAGACGGTTCAGTGTGCGCCAGGTTACTATTTCATTTCTAAATTTCTAGTTTTTTTGACATTTAGAAATTTCTTCAGCATTCAGCCTTTCGTTTTTCTCGCCCTAACTAATTGCACTAGACGGAACATTTAGCCATTAGGTCTGATAAGTTATCGTTGCTTACTATTATATATAATACCATTTTCCAATGTCCATGACTGATATGATGATTTTTCGGATTAATTTGCTGTTAAAACTGTTTCGTGAATTTGTCAAGTAATGAATTGTTTTTCCAGAAAGAAGAAGAAAGGGAAGAAGAGGAAGGCGTCAAAGTCAAGAGAAAAGTTAAAGCAACCACTACGGAAAGGAAACGGGTTTTAAGAAAGCTACCTTCCACATGATGGGTTATCAATATAAGAATATATTTGTTATGTATCATGGAGATAATAACAAAATCTACAGAAGTGGGAATTAGATCTGCCAGTAGTGACAGTTCACATTAGTTTAATTGATTATTATAATTATTAATTTAATTAATGATTTTTTGGGATTACAGATATGGGTCAAACTTAGATTCGCTGAAAGTTTCTGCGTCTAGTTCTTATATTCTTATATAAGCCGCAAAATCAATTTAATTTTTTTAATCAAGACACTCATTTTACTTCGGAGTATTCCAACAGCCACATTGTTACACAAGTGCAACCAGCCAATTACAGGAAGCCGAAGGATTTGTTTTGGCCAGTGACGGTTAAGGTAGTGTGTACCATACTTTCTTCGCCCGAGACTTTGCTGCAATGTGTAGCTCCTCATTTAACCCTCGCACCCGATTTCTCGAGTATTCGGCTGAGTAGACCGGGGGGCTGCATAGACCACTCAGGATCCTTAGCTGAACATCAACGACGCTCACCCCACGACCAGGCAGACAGTGGGATTCGAACTCGCAACCTCACGATTGCAAAGCTGGCGTTGTAACCAACTGCGCTACCTGGCCGACTGATACCCATCAGCTGATGAAAATCTTTTTTGCTATATGATTGTTGGGGAACTACTGAGTTACTGATTACGACGAAAACAGTGAAAAAGAGGGGCTGGTATGCCACACCAACCGCTATCGACGAAATCTTATTAAACTTTCAGCGAATCTAAGTTTGACTCATATCTGTAATCCCTGAAATTTTTGTAAAATTCTAAAACGTATTTCAAGAGTTATTTAAGGGTTACGTTAGCAAGTTACTTCTGGGCCACCCTGTAATTATAAGCTATTATAATATTATATCGGTTAAGTTCATATCCGTGCCGTATTATTTTTGACGGTTTTTAGACAAAGTTTCATCATTGGAAATACTTGACCTAGGAAATTAATTGATTTAGTTTACAATTACAATCATAATATGAATGTATTCAAATGAGTCATGAATTGGTTTGTAATTTCTATTTCTATTTATTTTGCATCAAGCGGACATAAACGTAGAATGCTTACAATTGGATGCTTACAATTTTGATTATAATTTGTCAGCTTCAGGAAGTTATATCGCAAGTAATAAAGAAAAAGTCTGTAAAATTAAAATAATCAAAAATAACCATAGTTGGTTCGTGCGCACTTAACGTACTTTTAAAACATAACGCTCTTAACGTACGAAAAAATTCAGACGCACTTTACGTACTTTTCCCGAAAAATTTACACACGAACCAACTATGAAAATAACTATACTGACAGTATGTAACTTGTTAATGGGCAATTGCTCAGTGCTGACTGCTGAACAATTCGGTCTGGTGTGTTTCTTCCTGTTGAACGAACACCGTCCGTATGAAATTGAACAGTTTCCATCAAATAATTGGCTAGCAGTTAAGCAAATCGCAAAAGATTAAAACGAAACGGCACAAAAACAAGAGATGGAGTTGGGTCAGGAGAAGATGTGAGATGATGACGTCATCACCTTAATGACGTCACTGCTTATCAGGCGAAGTACTTGTGGTGTCGATGATCAGGCAGCATCACTATTTCTTCCTCTGTTGGCGTTTCTTCTGTATAATCTATGGGAAAAAAGTCTTAAGTTAATCATGAGTCATGACAGGTACTATTGAACTTGAAAGTTGGAAGAAAGTTAGCTAAATTTTACATTTTGAAACTTGTAATAATCTATGTGAAGTAATTAATTCCATCGCTTTTACCTAAATGAGAATGAGCGTTGGATAATCTCAGCTTGTGTGGAGGTGCTGCTGTAAAATCTGGGTAGGGAAATTTTTATTGGGGTCCAAATAATCACCAAAAATTATTCTTACAATCTAAAATAATAAATTCGAGGCAATGAAATTCCATATTATGTGGACTGAAATTGAAAACTACCACAATTACTTGCATGGCTAATAGTAATAATAAATACCCCATAATACCTGAGGGAGGTACAGAAGAGTTGCCTTTTGATTGTTGATCTGTTGCCTCCGTGTCAAGAGGATGCTTTATAAATTCGGTATGAGACCTTGGATATAGTATTAGTATGGTAAACGCGTTAGGTACCGTCTAGGCTCTAGCGAGACTAGACTCAAGATACTCTAGACTCTAGATTCTAGACTCTAGATTATAGAGTCTAAAATCTAGAGTCTAGAATCTAGAGTCTAGAATCTAGAGTCTAGTCTCTAGACTCGATCTAGTTTCTAGACTCTAGACTCTAAATTCTAGGCTCTAGACTAGACTCTAGACTCTGACTTTACTTTAGACTCTAGACTCTAGAGCTATAAAGTCCTAGGTGGCAAGTAGTTTTACTGTATTAAGATGGACCACATAAAGGGTTCTTATTCTCCCAGAGCAAATATGCTAAAAGTAATACTAACTGGTTAAGAGAGTCGGGTGTGTGAATATCATATTCTTGTTCTTCTGCAAAATGATCTCTTTCTAACCTCCGTCTATAGTAAATACAGCAATTAGCATCATGTTTTACTTTTGACTTACGTCTTGACTATTATACATTTGTCATACGTTGTATGACCCGCCGCGCACGAGTGCACGGCTCCCCCTGTATCGTAGAAACTCTACAGGGTTTCACCATAGTGAAACGGCCGTGGGGGTCACGACGTGATACAATTATACATCAATAGGAAAATAAATAATGTGCAAGAATGTTCTTAAAATAAATAAAAAAATTATTATTTACTTACCTTATTTTGCATCTGGAGCATTTACAGATGTCCACGTGGGGGTTGTGTCTGTCGATAAAGTAGTGGTACACAACCAGGACTATGAGAATAACCAGCAGTACTGTAAATAAAAGAGTAGTGGTACACAACCAGGACTATGAGAATAACCAGCAGTACTGTAAATAAAAGAGTAGTGGTACATAACCAGGACTATGAGAATAACCAGCAGTACTGTAAATAAAAGAGTAGTGGTACACAACCAGGACTATGAGAATAGCCAGCAGTACTGTAAATAAAAGAGTAGTGGTACACAACCAGGACTATGAGAATAACCAGCAGTACTGTAAATAAAAGAGTAGTGGTACACAACCAGGACTATGAGAATAACCAGCAGTACTGTAAATAAAAGAGTAGTGGTACACAACCAGGACTATGAGAATAACCAGCAGTACTGTAAATAAAAGAGTAGTGGTACACAACCAGGACTATGAGAATAACCAGCAGTACTGTAAATAAAAGAGTAGTGGTACACAACCAGGACTATGAGAATAACCAGCAGTACTGTAAATAAAAGAGTAGTGGTACACAACCAGGACTATGAGAAAAACCAGCAGTACTGTAAATAAAAGAGTAGTGCCAGTGGTACACAACCAGGACTATGAGAATAACCAGCAGTACTGTAAATAAAAGAGTAGTGGTACACAACCAGGACTATGAGAATAGCCAGCAGTACTGTTAATAAAAGAGTAGTGGTACACAACAAGGACTATGACTATGAGAATAACCAGCAGTACTGTAAATAATAGAGTAGTGGTACACAACCAGGACTATGAGAATAGCCAACAGTACTGTAAATAAAAGAGTAGTGGTACACAACCAGGACTATGAGAATAGCCAGCAGTACTGTACATTTTTCAGACGTTATACCCCCGGAGATAACGAATAAGATCTTGTCAATACTGTTGGAGCTACTTACCCCCGGAGATAACGAATAAGATCTTGTCAATACTGTTGGAGCTACCTATCCCCGGAGATAACGAATAAGATCTTGTCAATACTGTTGGAGCTACTTACCTCCGGAGATAACGAATAAGATTTTGTCAAATGTCAATACTGTTGGAGCTACTTACCCCCGGAGATAACGAATAAGATCTTGTCAATACTGTTGGAGCTACTTACCCCCGGAGATAACGAATAAGATCTTGTCAATACTGTTGGAGCTTGTACAACATGTTAACATTCCTCTGCTGTCTTTACAACACCTGCCAAGTATATTAATATGAGTTTATTATTACTTTATACGTTATCAGTTATAAATTTACAGCTGGGGACCCCCTATTATGTAATAAATATAAGATCAGGGAATGGAGCAGAGATAGAGATAGACACAGTAGATGCTAACGTTTTAGGTAACAAATCACGATCCAATCCAAAACCTATTAACTCCGTAACCTTAAACCCAACTCTAATTCCAACCCTAATCCCAACCCTAATCCCAACCCTAAACCCAACCCTAATCCCAACCCTAAACCCAACCCTAATCCCAACCCTAATTCCAACCCTAATCCCAACCCTAACCTTTGCCCTAAAATACTTAACCAAAATATCTATAACCAACACAGAACTGGAAATGAGCAGGGACTCGGATTACAGGAAGGAAATATTAATGTCACGATGTGCGACATTAACCTGCCCTACCTGCAGTTATATAATATATATGTATATATATATAATATATAATCAGCTGTTATCTGGCCCCGGATCGGACAGTCTGAACAGATACGTTACTGCTAGTGCTACTCTAGTAAATTAATGCTTTTCAAACAAAGTTACAACAAATTCTTCATGTAGTGCATCATGGGTTTGGACAGGATATATACCCGTTTAAAATATTTCCATTACTTTACATTACATAATTTTCAATAAATGTAATACTAATAGATTTGCAATGTTATAATTAGTTTAAAGCTTAGTAAAGTGACCTCGAATGAAGAGGACAGCACGCTGAACTGGTCTCAGAACTGCAACATTGTTCCGATGATGAGCAGCAACCATCAGCTACCTGATTCTCACTGAAACAAATATTATGTCTAGTTGCCAAGTTGAAGCTGCATAATTTCTTGGGTAATCAAATCAATCAGTCATACAAAAACGTTTAAATTAATGATCAAGCTACTTTGCAGTACTTCATAGAATAGTTTATCCCAGGATAGAAACGGTAAAATGCACTTCATAAACATGTAGATCACACTAAATACTCAGGTAAATAACTAACTATCCCCGCCGCCAGCAGCACACATTCTGGGGTCCACAACACCCGTAACCAAGGCAACATTTGTATGCACTCCACGAACACCAGTCTTCTTGTCCTGTAGTGAAGGTACTGTTTAGGTACTGTTTAGGTACTGTTTAGGTACTGTTTAGGTACTGTTTAGGTACTGTTTAGGTACTGTTTAGGTAACGAACACCAGTCTTCTTGTCCTGTAGTGAAGGTACTGTTTAGGTACTGTTTAGGTACTGTTTAGGTACTGTTTAGGTACTGTTTAGGTACTGTTTAGGTACTGTTTAGGTACTGTTTAGGTACTGTTTAGGTACTGTTTAGGTACTGTTTAGGTACTGTTTAGGTACTGTTTAGGTACTGTTTGGGTACTGTTTAGGTACTGTTTAGGTAACGAACACCAGTCTTCTTGTCCTGTAGTGAAGGTACTGTTTAGGTACTGTTTAGGTACTGTTTAGGTACTGTTTAGGTACTGTTTAGGTACTGTTTAGGTACTGTTTAGGTAACGAACACCAGTCTTCTTGTCCTGTAGTGAAGGTACTGTTTAGGTACTGTTTAGGTACTGTTTAGGTACTGTTTAGGTACTGTTTAGGTACTGTTTAGGTACTGTTTAGGTACTGTTTAGGTACTGTTTAGGTACTGTTTAGGTACTGTTTAGGTACTGTTTAGGTACTGTTTAGGTACTGTTTGGGTACTGTTTAGGTACTGTTTAGGTAACGAACACCAGTCTTCTTGTCCTGTAGTGAAGGTACTGTTTAGGTACTGTTTAGGTACTGTTTAGGTACTGTTTAGGTACTGTTTAGGTACTGTTTAGGTACTGTTTAGGTACTGTTTAGGTAACGAACACCAGTCTTCTTGTCCTGTAGTGAAGGTACTGTTTAGGTACTGTTTAGGTACTGTTTAGGTACTGTTTAGGTACTGTTTAGGTAACGAACACCAGTCTTCTTGTCCTGTAGTGAAGGTACTGTTTAGGTACTGTTTAGGTACTGTTTAGGTACTGTTTAGGTACTGTTTAGGTACTGTTTAGGTACTGTTTAGGTAACGAACACCAGTCTTCTTGTCCTGTAGTGAAGGTACTGTTTAGGTACTGTTTAGGTACTGTTTAGGTACTGTTTAGGTACTGTTTAGGTACTGTTTAGGTACTGTTTAGGTACTGTTTAGGTACTGTTTAGGTACTGTTTAGGTACTGTTTAGGTACTGTTTAGGTACTGTTTAGGTACTGTTTGGGTACTGTTTAGGTACTGTTTAGGTAACGAACACCAGTCTTCTTGTCCTGTAGTGAAGGTACTGTTTAGGTACTGTTTAGGTACTGTTTAGGTACTGTTTAGGTACTGTTTAGGTACTGTTTAGGTACTGTTTAGGTAACGAACACCAGTCTTCTTGTCCTGTAGTGAAGGTACTGTTTAGGTACTGTTTAGGTACTGTTTAGGTACTGTTTAGGTACTGTTTAGGTACTGTTTAGGTACTGTTTAGGTACTGTTTAGGTACTGTTTAGGTACTGTTTAGGTACTGTTTAGGTACTGTTTAGGTACTGTTTAGGTACTGTTTGGGTACTGTTTAGGTACTGTTTAGGTAACGAACACCAGTCTTCTTGTCCTGTAGTGAAGGTACTGTTTAGGTACTGTTTAGGTACTGTTTAGGTACTGTTTAGGTACTGTTTAGGTACTGTTTAGGTACTGTTTAGGTACTGTTTAGGTAACGAACACCAGTCTTCTTGTCCTGTAGTGAAGGTACTGTTTAGGTACTGTTTAGGTACTGTTTAGGTACTGTTTAGGTACTGTTTAGGTAACGAACACCAGTCTTCTTGTCCTGTAGTGAAGGTACTGTTTAGGTACTGTTTAGGTACTGTTTAGGTACTGTTTAGGTACTGTTTAGGTAACGAACACCAGTCTTCTTGTCCTGTAGTGAAGGTACTGTTTAGGTACTGTTTAGGTACTGTTTAGGTACTGTTTAGGTACTGTTTAGGTACTGTTTAGGTACTGTTTAGGTACTGTTTGGGTACTGTTTAGGTACTGTTTAGGTACTGTTTAGGTACTGTTAAGGTACTGTTTAGGTACTGTTTGGGTACTGTTTAGGTACTGTTTAGGTACTGTTTAGGTACTGTTTAGGTACTGTTTAGGTACTGTTTAGGTAACGAACACCAGTCTTCTTGTCCTGTAGTGAAGGTACTGTTTAGGTACTGTTTAGGTACTGTTTAGGTACTGTTTAGGTACTGTTTAGGTAACGAACACCAGTCTTCTTGTCCTGTAGTGAAGGTACTGTTTAGGTACTGTTTAGGTACTGTTTAGGTACTGTTTAGGTACTGTTTAGGTACTGTTTAGGTACTGTTTAGGTACTGTTTAGGTACTGTTTAGGTACTGTTTAGGTACTGTTTAGGAACTGTTTAGGTACTGTTTAGGTACTGTTTAGGTACTGTTTAGGTACTGTTTAGGTACTGTTTAGGTACTGTTTAGGTACTGTTTAGGTACTGTTTAGGTACTGTTTAGGTACTGTTTAGGTACTGTTTAGGTACTGTTTAGGTACTGTTTAGGTACTGTTTGGGTACTGTTTAGGTACTGTTTAGGTAACGAACACCAGTCTTCTTGTCCTGTAGTGAAGGTACTGTTTAGGTACTGTTTAGGTACTGTTTAGGTACTGTTTAGGTACTGTTTAGGTACTGTTTAGGTAACGAACACCAGTCTTCTTGTCCTGTAGTGAAGGTACTGTTTAGGTACTGTTTAGGTACTGTTTAGGTACTGTTTAGGTACTGTTTAGGTAACGAACACCAGTCTTCTTGTCCTGTAGTGAAGGTACTGTTTAGGTACTGTTTAGGTACTGTTTAGGTACTGTTTAGGTACTGTTTAGGTACTGTTTAGGTACTGTTTAGGTACTGTTTAGGTACTGTTTAGGTACTGGTAAGGTACTGTTTAGGTACTGTTTAGGTACTGTTAAGGTACTGTTAAGGTACTGTTTAGGTACTGTTTAGGTACTGTTAAGGTACTGTTTAGGTACTGTTAAGGTACTGTTTAGGTACTATTTATGTACTGTTTAGGAACTGTTTAGGCGCTGTTTAGGTACTGTTTAGGTACTGTTTGGGTACTGTTTAGGTACTGTTTAGGTACTGTTTAGGTACTGTTTAGGTACTGTTTAGGTACTGTTTAGGTACTGTTTGGGTACTGTTTAGGTACTGTTTAGGTACTGTTTAGGTTCTGTTAAGGTACTGTTTATGTACTGTTTAGGTACTGTTTGGGTACTGTTTAGGTACTGTTTAGGTACTGTTAAGGTACTGTTTAGGTACTGTTAAGGTACTGTTTAGGTACTATTTATGTACTGTTTAGGAACTGTTTAGGTGCTGTTTAGGTACTGTTTAGGTACTGTTTAGGTACTGTTTAGGTACTGTTTAAGTACTGTTTAGGTACTGTTTAGGTACTGTTAAGGTACTGTTTAGGTACTGTTTAGGTATTGTTAAGGTACTGTTTAGGTACTATTTATGTACTGTTTAGGAACTGTTTAGGTGCTGTTTAGGTACTGTTTAGGTACTGTTTAGGTACTGTTTAGGTACTATTTATGTACTGTTTAGGTACTGTTTTGGTACTGTTTAGGTACTGTTTAGGTACTGTTTAGGTGCTGTTTAGGTACTGTTTAGGTACTGTTTAGGTACCTAAACACAATCTTTAAACTATTGTTCCTTCTAGAATTAATATTATATGAAGTATATTGTCGCACATTATTTGTATGAATTGTTAGTATGAATTAATGTATAGTTATACTTATAAGGAATCATTAATTAGTGCCATTTGTGTCAATTGATAATTAATTAATTAATAAAATATTTAATGTATTTTAACAGCGAAGCCTACCTGAGGTTTTGAGACACATTTGTGAGTTATCATCAGAATAAACAGAAACTATGCCGACTATCAGCACAAAAAGAAACATATTCCGGAACTCTATGAGGTACTGACTACTGTTCAATATTTCAATTAATATCTATCATTGCCTCAAAATATCAATAAAAATTTCAAAGAAATCGTGCAAAAACTTGCCAGAATGTCTGTGTTATTTCGAACATCAATAGCCAATAACGAAGGAGTTTAACTATATTAATATAAATATATAACCAGGTCAGTTTAAAGCGAGCAGTACAATACATTTCTACAAGTGCACAAATTGAATACATGCTAGTTCTACACTATATTCGGCCTGTATAAGTGCACTAACAAAGACGTCATACAGGATGTTTCATTTTACAGATTGGAGAGAGACAGAGAGAGACTAGAACCAGTAATGATGTGCCAGTTTTAATTGTCATATTTCACACATTAATTCGGTGATGTTTGAAGTGAAATTGATGGCAGGTGCAGTCGACAAAACCTAGGAAATTACACTGAGTTGCCGGTTGTTAATATGGGGTTGTTGGAAATTAAGGGGATGAGATATTATTGAAATCTTATTGTTTTAGTAGTGGAACAGCAATACTAAGGTAATGGGACTACTGCGGACCCTCTACCGGCCAAACCTTGTTAACAAAGCCGCAGTCAAGGTTTATTGATGATCCCGCTCGTCGGAGAAGATAAAGGCCTTGCTCAGCAATGGGTAGGGTTTGCAGTTTAGATAGCCATGTGGCACGCTGCAACTAAATTATTCGAGATTCTTCTCGAATAATTTTC